CCGACACAGAGCACATGGCTCTCTCAGTCCATGGCATTATCCGTCCCTGTGCTTTGCCAGAGCATGGAGATCCTCTCAGAAAAGGTCCCCTAGGGCCTGCACTGTTGGATTCTCCTTGCTGATGTTTTCCCCACCCTGGGTTTTGCTGTAAAAGGGGGCTCTGGGCCAGCTCTGTAGCCAGTTTCTTTCTAGTTCCACTCAAGTCTCATTTCTCCATCCTCAGGGTTTGGAAAAACACAAGGTCATGATCTACCCAGACACCCTTCCACTGTCCTCCCATGGCGCTGAGAAGAGGGCTGAGAGGTGACAGGTTGGTTTCCAACCTCCCGTGAGTGCAGCCCTCTGCGTCTCCAGCCCCTCCCTCCTTGGCTGGAGGTGCAAATTCAAATGTGTGTCCACCAGGCGAGTGATAGGGTTCTCCAACTCCGGAAGCCTCCGCTATGTCTTTCCATTATGGAAATTAGCTGGGCCCTGGCCTGGTTCTCACCAGCCGGATGGAACATTTCCCCAGGTCTCCTGGTGATGGGCAGACCTGCCCAGACAGAGAAATTCCTTGAGCCCAAAGCAAGCAGCAGGTGGCAGAAGGGCATCTTTGCCCAACATTCCCACTTTCTCTTCAGAGCCATGGTTTCGCCAGTCTCAAGTGACTAGAGGATACAATGGAGTGGGTATGCCATCCAGCTCAAAAACAGGGAGGCTGAGAAACAGCTGGAGTCAGACTGGCCTTGTGTCATCCATTGTCCCAGTTCTAACACTCAGGCCTTCAGTGTCTTCCTCAGGCACCGAGCAAATCTGAAAATGTTTTTAATGGAGGAACTGGGAGCTTTAGGATAAAAACTTGCCTCTCTCTCTCTCTCTCTCTCTCTCTCTCTCTCTCTCTCTATATATATATATATATATATATATTTTTTTTTTTTTTTGGGGGGGGTGAGGGCACATCCTTGTTATGGCCATGTTTGCTCTTAAGGTAAAATGTTAAAAGTACATTTTGAATATCTTGCAAACATATTCTGAGTTTTAAAGGTCTCACCTCACCTTCCACCACTGCAACATGATCAAAACAAAAAAACACTGATTGGCTTAGAGGGTGTTTGTACAATGTAATTGAATGAGCAACGCTTAATATGCCAAAGGTTCTCTGATGAGGCGATTGGGGAAATTGTCATCAATGACCAAGAGGTCCCCTGGAGGTAGTTCTGCCTCATGAGTGGGCAGCCCTAGGAGAATGATCTGCATTCCAATACCAGATCTGCACTCAAATCAAATTCCAGAAAGCAAGCATTTTTCTTCTCCTGGCTCACCAGAAGGAAGCTAATAAATAACTCAGGGCCATGCGATGCCCCTTTCATTGCCCTGTTAGAGATGGAAGGGTGCCAATTCAAAACCATGCCATGCAACCCCACGTTCTGGGACTAGTTTCTAGCTGTAGGACATTGTCTTATGACGGGAGAGAAGCAGCGTTCCCACCTCAGGCACCATGAAGGCAAGCAGCGGTGAAAATGACTGAATGGGTTAAACGCGGGCAAAGAAAGAGGAAAAGACAGAAGTAGTGAATGGTTGCTCATCAGAGCTGAGGGGGGTAGCGTTAGGAGAGACGGCCTTTAAGTACATTCATTAATAATTTGAGGAAGGAAGTGAAGTGCAAGTTCGTGCATGATGCAATATTGTTCCGGTTACTAAACATCGTGAAGAAATGAGAGGAACTCTAGACGAGTTTAAAACACAATGTGCAAGGGCAGTGAAGGGAGGGAGGTGTGACCGCCTTCTTGTGATTGTGCTGTGAGTAAGTATTATTAGTCTCTATAAAATTTTATTTCCCAAATATTTTACATGAAGGAAACACTGACTCTGCCAAAGATCCCTGCAATCAGCCCAGCATCAGTAGAAGAATAATACTGTCCTTAAATGTCTAATCAAAGTCAGAGTAATTACGAATCATTGTAGATGAAGAAAAATGGGCTTTTAGTGAAACAGTATGATAATTCTGAGATGTGCAACAGGAAGGCTGCTTGAGAGGGGAAAAAAGTGGAGGATGCACTTCATGTAAAATTGTTTTCATATCTCTAGTGACAATTTCTTTCTTTTTTAATATATATTTTATTGATTTTTTTTACAGAGAGGAAGGGAGAGGGATAGAGAATTAGAAACATCGATCAGCTGCCTCTTGCACACCCCCTATTGGGGATTTGCCCGCAATCAAGGTACATGCCCTTGACTGGAATTGAACCTGGGACCCTTCAGTCCACAGGTTGAGGCACTATCCACTGAGCCAAACCGGTTAGGGCGACAATTTTATTAATAGAGCTAGGGACTTAGGTTAGAATAGTGAAAAGGAAGAGAAACTAGGAGAATCTGGTATAGATATTGATATTTTAAAGAAGGGAACAAAACATTAAAAACTAGCTTTTAACTTCAAATTACAGAATAGTGTTCAAGTTTCCCATTTTTACCATTTGGACGGGTGTGCTAATGAATAATACACACAAATCAGAATTTTCAAAGCAGGAAAACTTCAAGTCGGCCTAGTGGAGGAAGTAGATGAGCAACTATGATTGGGTCCATGTATTCAACAGATATTTTTTTGAGGGAGTTAAAAACACGAAGCTAGGAGAAGAGAAGAGCAAGTACACAGGTCCATCATACCCCGTGGAAAGAGCTCAGCACCACAGAGAGGTGCAGAGAAGAACTCTGTCTGGGAGAGAAGGAGACAGATGGCTGAGTCAGCACTTGGCCAGGCAGGAAGGAGATGGTCACTAAACAGAGTCAGGCCCGAGAGAAAAGTGACTCAGTGTGGCTAGTGGTAAGAGGAGTTAGGTAGACCGGGTCCATTTCCGACAGAGGACATTTGCCTGAGGGGTTTTAATTTTCCTCTGCTGTCATTCCTAGCACTCCTCATGACCTGCCTTGGGAGCTGACTGGCTGGCTCCAGGGATGAATCAAGCCATCGATGTTCTCTTGGGCTGACAAGTGACAAGCTCCAATTTTTGTTTTAGGAGGATTAGCTTAAGTGGTGTGTGGGAGGATGGGAGACCTCTTAGAGAGGAGCATGGGGCGGTGTTGACTGAGCGAATCCTACTACATGCCCAGCATTCCATCAGACGCTCCACACACACACAGCTCAGAACAACTCCTTGAATGCTCAGAACAACTCCTTGGAGAAGAGAGAGTGAGAATAGCATTTCCATTTTATTGTTAAAAAAAAAAAAAATCAGGTTCAGAAAGGCGGAGTAACTAGCCCAAATGTTGCACATGTAAAAGTGGTAGAATTAGGCTCCCACCCAAGTCGGCCTGTCTCATAAGCTCATGTCTTTTTTAAAAAAACAACAAACCCTGTAACATGTCGGAACTATTCAAATGGCGAGGATTTTAACAAGGACAATGACAGAATGGGAAGGAAGAGAAGGGAGAGAAGAGATTTTGGCAGAGTCAGAAGGATGTGGCAACTGAAAACATATGGTGACAAGGGATTAAAAAAAAAAAAAACACAGTCCAAGTTTTTAGCCCAGATAACAGAATATGGCTGTGAGCTCAGCCTTTGGAAAGAAAAATAAGAAATCAAGTTTTGGACTTATTGTTCGAAATGACAGCAAAACGCCCACATAAGAGGAGGTACGTTGACTTTCTCCAACATGTGTAAAACCCATATCGAGATGACCAGCAACACACCCAAAACCTGGAAGTGTCACTCCTTGGCCAGACACCTACTGAGGAGAGCCTCTCTGGCTGTCCAGCCTCCGCTCAGTGGCTTCTTTTCCCTGTCATGTTTCTGCCTCTCCTGGCTTGTATTCATATTCAGTTCACCCCGCAGGGCATTTCCCAGGAAGGCCCCCTCCCCCCCATTTCCTCATCTCTGTTCTTTCCTCCCAGTGCCTCTGTCCCTTTCTGTCTCCCCATAGACCCAGCTGCTGGAAGGCGGGGACTTCCTTCACCTTGACCCGATGTGCGTCTCCGAGGCTATCACTAAGTCTGCCTCTCAAAAAAAAAAAAAAAAATAATAATAATAATAATAATAATTTGTTGACAGACTGACTGCTTCCTATTGTTGCTCTGGAAAACAAATACCCTGCCCAGGTTAAGTCACAGTTTCTTCCTTCTTAGGGCAAAGCAGGGCACAACCTCAAGACCAGGAAATCACCTTCCTCATCACATACCAGGCTATTATTCATGCAGTTTACTCACCGTATAGAGTTCCCTTGAAATAAAGCTAACAACCAGTCAAAAGATGGACAAATTTCCTAGTGCCAATCAACTTTTTAACAAGCCCACCCACTTTGCGGGGGAGGTTTTGGAGAAGGGAGGAGGGGGGCAGAGAAACCCAACCCTTCTCCCTTCTGTTTCCGAAACACACCAGTGGTGATAAAGGCTCCAGAATTTCTCTGCGGGTGGGTGTCAGGCACTGTCCTCAGGTGCTAATGGGGACTATGGTCCTTTTTTTTTCCCTTTTTTTTTTTTTGTACCAGCTTTTGCAAAGCAGTTTTATTTAAAGAAAAAACAAATAAGGATGTGTGTGTAGTGTGTGACTAGGGGGTGATTGAGGGACTCTCTAATGCACCTCTTGCTCCTTTTGAATATGGGGTTTTGAGGTCCACCGGCCTGTCTGATTGCATCCTATTCCCGGGGCAGTTAGGAGAGGGAAGTCCGCGGGCGCAAAGCGCACTTCCTGGGGGGACTTGGGGGTGTCGGGAGGGCCGGCGTCCTCTCTCAGCGGGTTTCAAGGCTGCTCACAGCCCGGACTTGGAAGCCGCGCTTGGCCGGCGCCTCGGCTCTTATGGGGCAAAGAGCAGGAAAGCCGGGAGCGCGGCTCCCGCGGGGGCAGCGGCCGGGCTCGGTCGGGGTAGGACGGCGGGGACCGCGCGGACCAGGCGGGGCGGGGCGGGGCCGCAGGGGGCGGGGCGAGCGGCCGGGGGCGGGGCCAGGCGCGCGGCGCCCTCACTCGGCCGCTGGGCTCCGCCTCGCCGGCTACGCAGGCGGCGGGGCTGCGGCACGGGCCGGGCTGCACCATGGCGGCGGCGGCGGCGGCGCCTGATGCTGTGGCGGCTTCCGAGGCGCCGGCGGCGACTGCGACGGCCGAGCCCGAGGCCGGGGACGAGGACAATCGCGAGGTCCGAGTGCTGCAGAGTCTGCGGGGCAAGATCTGTAAGCGGGGGCCGGGCTGACGGGACCCGCCCAGCGGCGGCGGCGGCGGCGGCCGCGGGGCTGAGGGGGCGGCGGGCGCGCGGAGGTGCTGGCGCCGCGCCGCGCCGGGGTCGCGGGGCCGGGAAGGAACCGGGCGGGGGCCCGGGCGGGACGCGCGGGGAGGGGAAGGGCGGCTGGGAGGGGGTGTGGTGGGGGAGGCGGCGTGGGCTCGGCTGCCGGGGATCCGTCGGGGAGGGAGGGGGGGGGTGCCTGGGCAGCGCCCGCGTGAGGGGCTCGGCCCGGGGGCGCGGCCTGGGCGCGGGGACGCCCCCGCTCGGGGCGCGGCCGGGGGCGCGGGCCGGGGGCGTGAGGCGCTTCCGGCCGCCCGGAGACGCGGGCCTGCGGGCGGTGCGGGCGCCGGGAGCTGCCCGGAGGTGGGAGCCGGGCGGTGATTACCGGGAGGCGCGGCCGGAGGGAGGGGGGGGGAGGAGGAGGGCGGAGAAGCGGGGCTGGCCCGAGGGGAGGGGGCTGCCCGCTTCCTGGGCTCCGGAGCCGGGGTCTGAGGTTGGGAGGACCGGGCCGCCGCCGCGGGGCTCCGGGGGCCGCCGCCCGGGGCGGGGAGGGGCGGGCGGACACCTGTGCTCGCCCGGCGCGGCGGCGGCGGCGGCGGGGACTGGAGTCGGAGGCGGCGTGGCTGACAGTGAGTCGGGCAGGATGTAGTGGCTTCCTGTGAACAGGTCTCAAAACACACTCCTCCAGCCAGCACTTAACCCACTTAATTCATTTCCTCCTCGTGCATTTAATTACTCCTGTGAACGAGCCCTGCGAGCTGACTTAATAACACTTTTTTTTTTTTTTTTTTTTGCTCAGAGGCTCTGAGCGTTATTACCGCGGACAGACTCTATGGAGACCAGTCGTTTGGACGTTTATTTTGGAAATAAAACAACCCTTTGGCGTCAGATTGCTTTTTTTTCTTTCTTTCTTATTTTTCACAGGGTTGTATGCAGAGGAAACACTTTTTTTTTCCTATTTGTCATTTATATCAATAAATCTTTTTTTTTTTTTTTTTTTTTTTTTTTTTTGCCTTTGGCAGAGGTCACATCTTCTTTATTCCGTATTCTCAAATGCAACGTGCTTCGTGGGAATAACCCTGAGTTAGGAGGAGTACTTGCTACTTTGTATGGAGGAGAGCGAATTACATTAAAATGGCAAACAATGCTCTTTTCCTACACAGGATGTAAATTTTTCCTCTTTCCGAATAAGGAGTAGTAGTAATGGAGCTTGGATTCTCCCACTTGCCTCTTTTCAAGTTGCTCTCCCCTGGCAAGTATTTCTGATTTTATTAAATCTCAGAGGCGGATATAATAAACTTTCCCTCCTTTTTATTCACACAAGTACAGTTTTTAAAACCAGGACAATGACACCAGAAAAGTAGATCTTGTCTGTACCTTTTCCAAATTGAAGTTACCTTTTAGGGTATAAACTCTTATAATTTAATATTTGGGGAAATTATAAGTAGGCCAGAGTTTCCCCCTCCATCTAATTTTCCCAGTTTTTTGTTTTGTTTTTACTCTTTTACGTTTTATTGTCACTTGGAGGTGCTAGACATTCTCCATTGGAGCCTCACTGATTACACTATGGAATTGAGGGTTGGACTCTTTCCAGAGTTCACCTGCCCCCGTACTTTCACCTGCTCCGCTCCACGGCAAAGATATCAAAGCAAGAGATACTGCTGTAAGCGTACTTGGGCCAACACATAAAAAACCCCCCAAAAAACACAAGTTCACTTCTGTGGTTTAAGCAACCCCACTACCCAGATGTGAAGATTCATCATCCAGTTGCTAGGAATATTATCACTTTAACTGTAGTCAGAGTATTCTGTTAATCTCAGTCAGTTTCTTGCTTTTTTAATTACTGAGTTTATAGCTCAGATCATAGAGTGTCTGCTTCATAGGAAAAAAAAAAAAAGTATCAGGACACATATATGAAGTTTCTCTCCCCCCTCCCCCCCTCGATTTCTTGGTCCTCCTTTTAGCTGGTGTAATCCAGAGTTGGTTGACCTTGAGAACACTGTGAAGAGATGCAGTTTTCTGTTTCCCTGAAACTGACATGTGGGTTTTGCACGGTGGGGGTTGGGGGATGGAAGAGTCACTAGCAGGTGCTAAAGTCACAGAAATGGGATGAGGGTGGTTGTGACGCTGAAGATATTAAGCAGCTTGGGGAATCATATCAGCTCCCCTTTTCATCATACTGGGCGCTCGGAGAAAAGCCTGATAGTGCCCACCAGCCTGGAGATGTGCTGGCAGATTCCGAACTGCTGATTGAGAGTCTGATCTGGAGAATTAGAGGCCCATAAGGCTGAAAGGGGAGCCTGAGAGGAAATGTCCTTTTTCCTAAACTGGGGTAGGACCATTCATCTCCAGCTCATATCAACAAAAAAGTGAGGATGGGTGTGTGTGTGTGTGTGTGTGTATAATTTTTTTAAATTATTATTATCTTTTTTTTTTTTTAAGTTCTAGAGCTAACAGTCCATAGCCTTTTCTAGGGGTTTCATTCCAGTGTTTATCAATTTTCTCATATACTTTAAAAGGTGAAATACTCGGTCGGCAAATGGAAAAACCATTTTGTGGTGTCAAGTTTCAAATGCTCAACATTAGCAAATACAGTGTTGCTGACAATATTTTGTCTTACAGGCAGATCCCAGATTCCCCGAGGTCCTTTTAGTGCCCTAGGAAACCATGGCCGTTCCAAGTGGTCTGCTTGGTTAATATTCAAGAGGCAGGTTTGGTTGTTGGATGTCCTGCAGTTGTCACGTGAACCCTTGAAAGAAATGAAGGGTTACTTCAGACTCCATCCTTTGGTCTGAACTCCTGTGCAGTGAGTGGCTAGTGCAGAGGAAGCAATTTTGCATTGCTCCCAAAAATAACACAAACCCACACATAAGCAAAAGAAGGGAATCGGGGCTTTCTCCTTTATACTTTCAGGCTTTGGGCTGTTATTTTATGTTGTCCTTTTTGTTTACTGCTTCTTGTTAAGTTTGTTCTTGTCTAATTAAATTGGATTGTAAAACTTTTCTGAAAGAGCTCATGCCACCTCATTCATGGGTTTATCTGCTCAAGAGAGACCAGATTTATAAAGGAGCCAAATTTGAGGATTTGTGTGAACATTGAGACGTGTTGTATGGTATCACATTTGGGAACATGATGTGTCCCAAAACTTATTTGGTTTCCCTGACATCATCTTCAGATGAAGAATGACCTACGCCATTTGGCCTAGAAGGATCTGTAGGGTATGCTGGAGTATAGATGGATAGTTGGTCAGGTTAGTCACTTAATTTCCAACCCTTGTTAATCTCTGTGTGCCTCTATTCTCATGTGTAAAATGGGGATAGTAAAAACATCTCTCACAGGATTGATTTGAGGATTAAATAAATCCTATGCCCCCAGAATCTGGGGCAGATTCTCGAATAAGGAGTCAAGTAGGAGATAAAAATTAATCTTTACTTGATGTTCTTATCCAACATGCGCTGGCATTAGTTGGTGTGCGAAGCTGATTAAAATCATAAGAGACCATATTTTGTTTCTATTTTGTTAATTATTATTCATGTGATGACTTCAGGCAGCTCACTTACGTTTGAGCTTATCTTCCTCATCTTTAAAATGGGAATAATGCTACATGTACATGTTGTTCCCACTGCCTGGAAGTGTTTTCCTCCTTTTTCCCCCCCTATATATTTATGTCTGAGAACTGCTCATCCTTCAAAAGCCTGCTCCATGTCATCTCCATGTCATGTCTCTTCTTTGGGGTACTGTCAGACCCCGTCCCTGGAGAGAAGGTGTTAAGATTGTATTGCAGAGAAATCAAAATTCCTTGTCCATTTCCTTAATATTTAGCACATTTCATAAAAATTATTTTCTTTGTTAGACTGTGAGCTCTTCCAAGGTAGAATTTATTCTTACTCATTTTTTATAAAAAAACTATCCCAGTGTCAGCATGGTGCTTAGAACAGAATAGGCCTTTAGAAAATGGCCTGCCTCTCACTGTGTTTTCCTGAGGAGGATTTGAAACACAAGATAGGAAAGTGTTTTGTAAATTTTAAACTAAACAAAAAAGAAGAGATGGTAGTATTAAGAGAAAACTGCATGATCTGTGGCAGCAAGTTCATCCCTTTCAAAATCACAGTGCCAGCTGAGCTGAGGTTTGAACTGTTGCCAAAGTTGCCTCATTAGGAAAAGGATTAAATTTTTCTAAATGCTTTGATTGCTCATTATTAGTGGATTTGAATATTGTTACCTGACAGTATTCAAATCCATGATTGTTACTAATTGGTCATGAATCTAGTAAAGAAAAATCTCACAATCACACCTTACCCATTAAATATTTTTGTCATGGCAGATTTGAGAGATTTTTGGTAATAAAATATAAATCAAAACATTTTATTGACCATACAATACAGTTGAGAGGGAGAGATTAAAAAGAGTTTATTCATTCTAAGAATTCATTATTATCAGATATTTGAAAAGAGATGTTATTGAATACATTAATAGAGGAAAAGATTTAAAAAGGGTTGGTTCATGGTAAGAATTTATTATTGTCAGAAACTTGAAATGAGATGAGTTATTCAGAATGAAGGAAGAATCCATCTTTCAGAGGGATAGAAATGAGAGAAAAGGGTTCTTTGTAAAAGTTCACAGAGCAGTCTGCTAATCATTTGCTCTGCGGAAGACAGGAGGTAAACCTCAATGAGTTCATAGATTTTCTTAGTGTGTTTTTTTTTTTAACTTAGAACTCTTTGAGTAGACTGTAAGAGACTGTGGAACTAACCTAGCTGAAATAAAACTATCATTTTATCCTTTAATCATAGATGCTAATCCTATTTCCTAGTTAAGTTCTCTATGAAATTATTTGACAATATCAAATTACATGTTTTATGAATTAATGAAGTTTTATGCTCTAACAGTTTTATTGTATAGCCATTGATTAAGGTAAATTAAGAAACCTTTTATGTATAGTAACAAATT